TTTCACAATTGGCCAATAATAACGTGTTATTCAATTTCATGTGACGACCAATCACGAGAAAGTTATCCTATATGGTTAGTGGGTATATAAATATCAAGATTGTAATTTATGCAGCATGTAGATCATATATTGGATTAACTCCGCTTTAGCCGACCCCCGATCCGGAAATTTGAAAATTATTAAACACTGCTTCTAGTATTCAAAGTTTTATTCAAAATTTTCATAAATTGATTTGTATCCAGTGTATGTATGTACTGGAGTTTGGAACTGGTTTTAATTTGACAACACTTATATCGATATCGATATGTAAAAAATCTCAATGTAACATCTGTGTATTATTCGAGGTCCGGTAGAACACTAAGTCTGATTGGTCATAAATATCGAGACTGCGGCAAAAGAACCACAAACGCGATCAAAATCGAACGTATTTTTTTTTTTTTTTTAGAAACAAAAAAATGTCTTATTCTGCTAAACCAATGCAATTATCTGTAATAGAAGGCCTCATTCCACCAATTCGCAAAAAGTCATTTTACCAATTTGACAACAATTCTTCGCCTTACATTTATGACATTACAGCTACTTCCACACATTGCTTTATATCCGATTCAAATCATCAAATTACTTCCTTTGCATATACGAATTCTAACCTTACGTTCGCTGGCAAATTAAACTACCATACTGATGCAATAACGAAACTCAAATTACATAAAAATCAGTTCATTATTTCGAGTTCAAAGGATGGTCGTATTGCTTTATGGGATTTAAGAACCCCGAACAGTCAACCAACTAATGTTTTCCAAGGTATTCTAATGTCTCCGCGAATTCTAATAAAACACAATCTAAAATTTACAGAATTGATTTAATTGATTAAGCAAAAAATAGTGAGCCTTTGTTATCGTTTGACATCAACAGTTCCAGCACGATTTTGGCGGCTGGTACTGAACTTGTAGAAGAAGACGCAAAGATCCTCTTCTGGTACGTAAGAATTAAAATTCGCATTAATTCATTACATAAAACATACATATTTTTTGCATTTATCTCTTCTTTAGGGACTTAAGACAACCCTTTCATGTCGCCGCTGAATTCATTGAATCACATA